TTTTCGACCCATGTTTATATAGACTTTATGCATTGATTTTAAAAGTTCTATCGAATCTTAAAGTTATACAACAATAAACTGAAACACCCTGTATATGTCAAAATAAATCCGATAAAATGTAAACTTGCTGCTTAGCTAGTCCCTAGTGTGCAAACAGTACATTACGCGATTGTGCGCTGTGAGCATCATCAAAACCGTCCAGTTATGGGGGAATGGCTCAACAACACGTCACGCTCATATACCATGCTGCAAACTGCAAGTCAGTTTCCCATCATGTTCTGTTGGTTGAAGACTGTAGGGACAGTCTTTGGAGTAGCAAGGTCACATATGGTTGATTCTGTGTATTAGTTTTCATGTGTATAAAATCAGTGATACTATGTGAGAAAATTATTACTGATTATGCTGCCCTTAAAATATATCTATGAGATGTGCCAGACGGGATATTTATGTTGCCCTTTCTGAAGAGAAATGACCTTCAAGGTAAGGGTCAAGGCCAAATCCAGAGCAACTGGTCAAAATTCACCAAAGAGCTGACCTTGATAGTTATTTTCATCACTAATCCTGTAAGATTAATCAGTGGTTTTTCTAGCAGCGCACAGTTGACCTCCATTTGACCTTTAGTGGTCACCATAACCTTGGTCTTCAATTCGTATTTGAACGTAAAATTGTCCGCTATTTCGATTGCCGGCATCAAAAATATGGATTTACATTAAGAAATGAAGTTGACCTTGAAATTACCATGAAGGCCAAATTCAAGATCACTGTTCACTTTGTCGTGAAGATTTACCAAACACCGGACATTTATATACTACAACTGTAACTGTACAACTGATACGCGTGATCAACACGTGATCAGAGTTCGATCCCGGCTTCCTTCCAGTACAGCCGTATAGCGTGCGACATATGTCGTTTCTGTGGCTTTGCGGTGGTCAACAGCACAGACAGAGATGGAAATAATGGCTGATTGTTCTCCGCCGGTAGAACCAATGAAATCAAAGACGCGCCTCGACCGGCAGACTCATAGGCGTCACGCATTGGAACGTGTTTCGTTGAGCGATCGCATATTGTGTGTTTTTATAAGAATTGTTGTGTGATTGTTATTGTTGTGGTTTCTGTGGTTACTGTTTTGGTTGTACTTAACCATGGAGAGTACAAATGGCACCAGTGGAAGTACTGAAAGCCAGGGAACAACTAGACGGCTTCGTAAAGCACTGAAGAGGGACGCGAAAGAAATCGTGCTCAACGTGTTCAATTATCTGAACAGAACTATGTCGCAGGGAGATGCACTCGCGCGTTGTGAAAGTATGACAGGCGTTCCAGAGTGGACCATTCGCAGGGTGGTGCATGAAAAGAAGAAAACTGGAGCTACTACTGATCCAAAGTTTAATTTGACGGGACGAAAGGCCGTTAAATTGGATGACGATAGCAAAATGGCGTTAAGGCGAAGCGTACATTCATTCTTCTTTAGGAATGAGATACCAACCCTCAAGGCTGTACATGCAGCGATCAAGGAAAATGAAATTATACCCCAAATGAGCGTCGAGGTAATGAGGAAATCCCTGCACGAAATTAATTTTCGTTACGAAACGCGTAATCGGAAGTCAGTATTGATAGAGAGACCTGAAATAGTCACCTGGCGTCGAAAATACTTACGCGAAATGATTGAATATAGGCGACAAAGCAGAAAAATCTATTATTTGGACCAGACAAGGGTAAATGCAGGTCACACAGTTAAAAAAACCTGGATAGACAAAAACGTAGTGAGTAACCGACAAGCAAGCATTGAAGGTTTGTCAACAGGTCTTCGTGGACCGTCAGGGAAAGCTCAAAGATTGATTGTAACTCATATTGGTAGCGATAGTGGCTTTTTAGAAGAGTGTGACTTGATTTTCGTCTCTAAGAAAGGAGGTGATTACCATGACGAAATGAATGCCAGCTGCTTCGAGAGCTGGTTTCAAGGGGTGCTTCAGCGACTCTGTGATCGTCATGGATAATGCTTCCTACCATAGTCGTCGAGCCGAACGTGTACCGACTATGGGATCTCGAGAAAGTGACATGCAGCAATGGTTGCGCGAAAAAGGAATCCCGTTTGACGATTCATGTGTGAAAGCGGAATTGTATGAAAAAATTAAACAGCACAAACCTGCGAACATTAGTTACGTGACTGATGAGATGGCCCGTCAATGTGGTGTCACTGTGTTGCGGTTACCGCCCTACCACTGTGAACTGAACCCAATAGAGCTCATCTGGGCTCAAGTGAAGGGTTATATTGCGCGCCATAACACAACATTCAAATTACCAGACGTTAAGGTTTTACTTGAGACTTCCATACAGCTAGTAACGCCCGAAGCTTGGCAGAATGCTATCGGTCATGTTGTAAAGGAAGAAGCAAACATGTGGCAGCTTGACCACCACATCGACACCATCATAGAGCCAGTTATAGTCAATTTCAATGAGGAAAGCGATAGCGACAGTTTATTACTGTCAGATGTAAGTGGAAGCGACGATGAATAAAGGTAATTCCCAAATTTTTGACTTACAATATGTTTCAAACCACTCTTTATTAAGCATGTGACAAATCTAGTCCACCCATGTTAAACATTCATACCCCGCCTATGAACAGCCGACTACTGGTAGTTAAGTGATGTTCAGGTGAACATCGATGAGTCATTACAGTTTTAGATAGTTATAGTATAGTTGTTTTCATTACAAGTCACGTGAGATATATAGACTTCACGGCCTATTTGAACGTAGAATTGTCCGCTCTTTCGATCGCCGGCATCAAAAACAGGGATTTTCATTAAAAAAATTAAGTAGTCTTTGAAATAAGCTTGAAGGTAAAGCTCAAGGTCAGCGTTCACGCCCTTTTTCTGTTAGTTATTCCATTTTTCCGTTTTCAAGAATTGACCTTTTGGTGTATTGTTAACCATTATATCAGAATGACTACGGGATAACCTTTTTTTCACCCTTTTACATGTTTGTGAGGGTGACAACGATGCGACAACCGCCAAACATTGGAACAGATGTGAGTAAAGGCGAAGTCAGGGAAAGTGACAGAGCCGCAGCACCACCACGTATATGATACACCCCAACTCCTTTATAGCCTACATTCAAAATTGACGACCCGACGAAGTTTGTGGCTGCACATTTCGACGATAAATTATTATCAACACGCCCGATCGTAATAGCAGTCAGTCCTGGGTACATCTAAAATATATATTATTAGCCCGCTAAAGGGAAATAATGTGCGGAGCACAACAAAGGCTTCAACTCGCTAACCGGCAGCCGCTGTGCCCCATTGAAATTTATTCCCAACATTTTAATCGGATACTGTATTCTGGCTTGATCGAATGAGGATGTGCATTGCCACATTATGGTGCAGTAGATGTAAGTCGTTGATGCATTTTGAAAGTGCCTTCCAAATTAAAGAATGTCAATATCATTGCGAAAAGTGTATGTAATCCTGAAATTACGCTATGTAGTCTGCTCCTGGAGTCGCCTTGACAATTTGTGGCAATATTGGTAAGTGATGGAAGAAGAAACAGATCACAGGATCCGTACGATAATATACAGAGTGGCCCAACGAAAAGGCCGCGCCCCTATTCGCGCCTCTCCCAGCGAATTTTGAGAAAAACGCTAGGACACGTCAGTTCTGATTTCTAGGGGGACGTCTTTTTATCCATAGCCGTACAACACAGGGCGATCCAGAAATAAGATATATATATATATATATATATATATATACAGGGTGTCCGCAAAGTTGGGGTTTTCCTTTTCAGAAACAACTATCCTTGAAATAACAAAGGTAATGTGTAGTGAAACGAGGGCGACCAACTAAAAAAAAATAAAGGAAAAAGTACTCACTCTCCAGTTGACGAGAAAGGCTAAGTACGTCTCTGCCCGAAATCACACCGCTCCAACAGAAAATGAAATCAGCTGATACGCTACCGAGCAGACGCAGGCAAACAAGGAAGGCAAAATGTTGCGTAAAAAGTCTAGGTATTGCATCCCGTCCAATCGATTTGGGAGAATAAATGGTCCAATGAGCATACCGTTCACCATGCCAGCCCAAACATTCACCGAAAATGCTTGTTGAAAATGTGCCCGACGGACAGCGTGCGGATTTTCTACTGACCAAACATGAGTGTTGCGAAAGGTATTCACCCCATTACGCGTGAACGTAGATTCGTCTGTCACCAATATGCACTTCAAAAAGTCCGGATTATTGTCATGTTGATGCAACAACCACTCACAAAACCGCACTCTTGCTGGAAAATCGTCAGGTTGAAGGGCTTGTACGCGTTGGACATGAAATGGATACACGCAGCGTTTGCCACACTTTAGTTTTCGATACTTGCACTTCTCTAGTGCTTGTTGAGGGATTCTCGTCTACGCGATTACCTCTACATGCGTGACCGTAACCGTCGATTGAAGGTTGCACACTGACCTGACACACTGACCCCGACCCAGTTCTGTCGTCGGGTTGAGCTAGTGTCCTAGTACCACTCGAGGATGTCGCGGCTACAGGACGGTATTCAGATATTTTTGATGTTGCAGACAGTGTTGTCAGTTTTACTGAATTTTCAGTAGATCTACTGATTTGTATATTGATCTGCTGATCTACTGAAACATTTTTGTAAACTACTGAAAAAATTATGATGCCTAATTAATGTTATTATTATTGTTAATTTTTAATTCATAACCTAGACCACGGGAGTTCCCAGCTCTGCGCGACAACGCGAGGGTTATGGTTTTTTCTTCGTTTTCACCTTCACAATTCGGTTTGATCTCGTATCCAGTGGTTTTGTTGAATACTTTATCTTTTTATCCTTTCGTATAAGCGCACGTACAAAAATGAGATAAGTTTCTATTTATTAGTTAATATTGAATTCTAAAGATGTAATGTATTATGTTTTTAGTTCAAGTGAGTACCATAACTCTGAAAATGAAGGGGCTGCTCCCTCAAAGAAATAAAAATTAAAGATAATCAAGTATTTAAGAAAAGCTGGACCGAAGAGGAGCAATTTAAAAAGGAGATCAAACAGGGAAGAGATGAATACTTTGCTATGTGCCGCGTTTGCAATAAAGATATGTCTATTAAAAATACTGGCAGATTAGCACTAGTTCGGCATCAGGATAGTGCGATGCACGTGAAACTATGCAAATCTCAGAAAAAGCAGGGAACATAACAGATATGGCGGTTTTTAAGAGGAGACCCAAATCAGGAAACCATATTAAAAACGGCAGACTTACATCTCCCAGCTTTGGCCACTGAGCACAATTTGTCATATAATGTGATGGAGCATTTACCTGCAGTAATAGATAATAGATAATGAATGGCGATTACTTCGAAATACGGATTTAAATGTCAGTTGTGATGTAGACGTAGGACTATTCTGGTCAAAAATTGAAAGTATGCGCTACAGCGACGGAATTTCCATGTTTCCTGTTTTAAGTAGATTTGTTTTCAGCTTGTTAATTTTACCGCATTCATCGGCAAATGTAGAAAGAGTTTTTTCTGCGGTAAATCTAATGAAAACTAATCAAAGAAATAAACTTTCAACTACGAGTATTGTAGGACATCTACACACAAACACAAGTCTAGAAAATTAAATTGTAGAAACGTTACATTTACAAAATAAGTAATAAATTTACATAATAATGATATGTATAAACCAAAAAAGTACAATACTTTATCAGATTCCGAATAAATTCTATTTTTTTATATAAGTACCGAGAGTTTCTTACGTTTAATTTTTTCACTTGTTTTGTATTTTTGGAGTTGTTTATTATTTTCACTATTTACTGCTGTTTTTTTATGTACTCGTATCTGATGAGTATGTCCTAAGTAACTTTATTTTGGGATAATTTTTTTTAAATTAAGAATTAGGTATAAGTTAAAATTTTTGTTTTGTGTACATATTCCTATATTTTGTTAAGCACACAAATTTTCTTTATTTATAAAAAATACATATTTTTTCGAGTTCATAGGTCTTTTTTATCACCCTTTCCTAAAATTTGCATAAAAAGTATATCTACTTAAAATCTACTGAATTTTTGGCAACCCATTTACTGAGGAAATGAATATCGAACTGACAACATTGGTTGCAGAGCCCTTTATCTCGGTTCTCTTGAGACATTGGTGTATATGGTACTAAGAAAAATTGCTTATGTTTTCAAGATCTACACGTCGTGTAAAGGAAAACCCCAACTTTGCGGACACCCTGTGTATATATATATATATATATAAAACAAACAGTAAAAAGCATTAATAACTATAATATGAACAATAGTAAGGCAAAAAGTAAAGAAACATAAAAATGATTCACTGTAACGGAGAACAAAGTAACGCTACGGGCAAGACTCAGGAGTCCAAATAGAATAGACAAAGATACATAATGAACATACTCAAAAAAAAGCGACAACTATGACATACAAAAAAAATTTACGAAGAAAGGCAAGCAGGATACTTGAGAGCTATAGAAGCAAGTGTAGTACTTTGATGCAAAAATTCATAATGACAAAGAAAACAATAAAAAAAGAACCGACCACAAATTAGTAGAAGAAAAGTAGAAGTATGAAAAAATGTCAGCAACGCAAACACGGACGCATCAGCAAAGCAGACATAGGAGAACTTAAACCTTATAGAAACTCAAAGTGCATCATAAAAATGTAAACGCCGCTTGGAACATACGGATACTAGTGAGAACAGGAAGGTTGCAGAAAAAATTGTTGAACAGGAACTTAGAGTAAATATGTGACTTTAATTTTTAGTAGTAAGTATCGGGAACCTACTTAATTCCGTAACGCAAAAAAATGTAAGTTGCCGCTAGGCGTACAATTCCGACGCTCTTGCCTGACTTTCTAGCCCTTCGAACGAGCAATTCTGGAAAGTACAATATATTGCCAAAATCTAGTCAAGCCGAAACGACTAAGATGTGCTGGGTGTTTGAAATTCGACTGTCATCATTGGAGTTTCGTAAACGGTGAGAGATCAGAATCAGGTCCGAGTATTTCTGGAGACGAAGGAAACCAAAATTTCCCAAAATCGGTGTTGTTTCTTCTTGGCTGTATTTAAGATTAAATTTCAAAATGAGAGCTGCGTCAATGTTGACACTTTCTGTCTTGTACAAGATGGAATATCAGTACGACGTTCATATTATAAGCACTATATTTGATTCTTGTACAGGTGAATAGACTTGATTCCAAATGTGTATAACCTGTCATACTTTGATATTTCTTAACGCTAGTTATTAGAAAAATCAGAATTTATTAAGAATACCATGAAATTATCTATTATATATTATTATGAATTAGGCGTTGGTGTACAGTCCCTATTTCCGACGTTAGGTATTTAAGTGAAATTCAAGTGTCCAGAAAGGTAAACTTGTTAACATACTTTGTCATCAATTAGCAGTAGTATTGAACACATTGGAAACAGTACAATTGTATGTAATTGATAGAAACATTTAAGAGTAAATAAAAGCCTCGACGACTTGGACCTTCTAGCAGACATTTCATATCCGCCATACCTAAGCCGATGCACACGTTTGAAATACAAATACTACTCGTACTACTGCTGCGGTAGAGCACGGTCATCGTGGTAAAATAGCGCTTGTTATAGCCGATGAATGGACAAATTAAAACTGAACATTTCTTAAGAAAGCATCTAACATTATAGTTTTAATTAGATGAGTATGATATAAACGGTCAGTTTCAACGCTGACTATGAAAATTTCAGTTATTTGCAGTTACTTTGATTTTGCAGTGACAATGTACACCATATACAGAATTTTAAACCCTACTTAACTTTGAAAGGATTCAATGTGGCGTCCATAATAAAAAATAAAGTTGGTTATTTATTATATACAAGAGACGAAACGACAAACTGAAATTCTAATTACGCCGCTTTTCAGAGAAGAGGCAGTGGCAATGTTAGTGTTCCAGCTTACTTTAAAATTCTGCGTTAAAACAAGTCATGAAATAAAGTAAAATCTATCTTGGGAAGTCTCAACCTTTTTCCGCCTCTCTCCGGAAATTCTCGGAATTGCGTAACTGTGCCATTTTCTTGGTAGCTTAAACGAGCAAGTGTGATCCCAATGGTGAGAGTCGGAATACGAACACTATAGATCCATTGCTGTAACTAAATATTACTCCCAGTCAGGGCATAAAAATTAGGCCTTAAAGTATTCGCGGAATCCAGAAACTTTGGGATATACTCTTTAAACGACATTTTTTAATTGATGTAGATTCGTTGGTTAGCTGTCAATTGATTTCCTTAAGTGTTGTTTTTGTAATGAAATTCCTATTTAACACAAACGCTAGCTGTTCCACGGTCTACTGAATCTAGATAAGTTTCATACCTAGAATAACTGTACTATGTGGACTTGATCGAATATGGATGTGCGCGACCACATTATCGCTCACTTGGAATAGCGATGATTTTCCATATAGCGTTAATTTCGGAATTCGTGATTTGCTGCATTGTGTGTACTGTTCAGCTATGTATGAATTTGGATATATGTGTGTTACGTACCTGTACTGGTCGTTTCCTATTCGATAAACTAATATGCGAGAACCCTAATGAAGTCGCCTTCAAATACCCATTCGGCTAATACGGGTGCTTTCAAAAGTTCGTCAAAAAGTATCCATAAAAAGATTGCAGGATATTTTTGAAAAAACCTAATGAGTACACGACCATCGTTTTGGTTATGGTGAAAAATATGGCATTACTGAGCACGGGCACAGAATTGTGAATAAAGTTAGTGTGGGTTTTAACAACAAAAGAGCAGCATTTCTCGATGCATCTCAAGCATTCTACAAAGCTTGGCATAAAGACCTGCACTTCAGAAAGTCATTTATTCCGTATCCCCATTACTTGCAATTAAGTTAAAACATTCAGGACATACGATCATATGAAGTTTTCATCTAATTGGACCTGAAATCAACTCCTTAGATAAGGACTTTCGATTAGGAAACACACTAAATTGCAGCTACTAATACAAGAGGTAAATGCAGACTTTTGAGCCAAAGATTTCATATTTTTTTAACTGCTTCTATGATAACTAGCAAACTCTGATTTTCGTATGTGTGTTTCAAATATCGAACTTGTTCAGTTTTTGATATCTTTTTCGAAACCCAAAAATGTTTTCCGTTCCTATGCCACAGCTTTAATAGATCTTCCCTTTTAGGTTAAGATTTGAAGATAATTAACGAACTAATTGGAAAAGTGAAAAGAAAGTGTATCTTCTTCCTCTTTTTTCATATGCCATATGATACAACATAAATATTTGGTTTAACACATTTGATAAATACATCATATTGTTTTTCGAGGCTCACTGCATCGATCTCCTGATTATTGAACCTCATTATGCTCAGTAGCTGGAGTCTAAATTATCGATAGCAGTTTAAATACAAAATTTATACCCGGCAGTTTAAATAAAAATCAAATTCCGTACCTCAGAGTCAGGTTGGTTTAGGTTAATTTTTTCCAAAAATGAGCCCTACATGTTAAGTTCATGATAATTTTGTGAATTCTAATTTACTACTTGTAGCTTCGACCTAGCTGTAATGATAAGCGAATTATGACTGAAATGTAATGGATCTTTTCCGATTAGCTAGTCCTTTGAAGTGTTTAGAATTTCTTTAACCGGAAGGTGATTCGCTTGATGAGTCACAATTTTCTTGTAGTTTCCCATTTGTGATTAATAATGGAATTTTATGTCATAAAGCTTTTCTGATTTTACTTCACGCTGCAACGCTATTTTCCTGTTCACTCTCTATAATATACTAAGTGACATATAAATCCGAACACCCAGTTTAAATGGTTTTATTTTAATAAAATTTTGTATAAGTACTTAATGAAGCATAATAAGTAAATGATAGACATTTCAAAATGATTGCATTGCTTTAAAGCCCTTTGACCTTTAATAATGTGTGGATGCACCCTGATGTGCTACGCATCCTCCAACGAGCCTAGGCATGCTTCTGATCAGGTGGTCAATGTCCTCCTGTGGTATCTCATTCCAGGCAACCACCAACTCCTCTCGAAGTGCTTCTAGAGTCTGAGGAGGACGTTGCAAATTGAGCAATCTCCTACCCGTCATATCCCACACGTGCTCAATTGGGGATAAGTCGGGAGATCTTGGTGGCCATGGTAACAATGTGACATCATTATGTTGAAAGAAGT